CTTAATCACCGCTGTCTTTGACAGCACCGGTGGTTAGTTTTGTGAATTAAGGTGTAATTAGGAGGAAAGTAGTCGATAAATCATGCAGTCATCCGACAGGTGACGACACCCTCCGACTGTGTAACACCGTCTCTGTCTTCCATTGTCAGCAACAAATGTACCAGATGAAGTTTATGGCTTCATCTGAAATGACTGAACATTAAGAACGTCTGAAATTAACTTTCTGCCCATATCTGATATGACAATATTTTTCCAAACACAACAGTTCCGATTCTGATATATATGAAGCCGTTTGGGTTAAAGGCAGAGGACGCGTGTCATTGTGTGCAGTTCACGTTAACTTCCATAATACTTTTAGATCACATCATCTGGGTGAAACCCCAGCGCTGCGTTATCTGGTTTTCATTATCGCAGGGTAAAACAATAACATTTCGTATACCGTAGTTACACAGTTATGCTAATATCGTCCGATAATATCGTTTCATTATCGCAGGGTAAAACAATAACAATTCGTATACCGTAGTTACACAGTTAAGTTGACTGATATTATCAGACAACCATATTGAACATAGTATCAAACAAAAACAATCTTTAAGCTAAAACAAGGTGTATTGTAGTGGTTCTCAAAATGAGGGGTGGGGCCCCTGGGGGCACAGAGCTTTTGCAAATGAGATGCAGCAATCAATTAAATTTTTGACATTTTCCGTTGTCCGCAAACATCTTCAGACTTCATTTTGTCAAAACACAGACATAAGAATCAAAGAGACTTAGCCTTAGTGGAAAATGACTGTTGGCTTTTCTTGGTCGGACCTGGTCGTTTTTCATGAACATCTTTCTCTGAAAATCGATGTTCTGTCCTCAGATGTTCAGGTTATAAAATCATTTAAAAGTAATTTAAAACATGTCACAGCTTTGGTAACATCTGCATTATGTTTTTGTATTTTTTTTTTAACGCCACTGACCGACATTTCCGTGTCGTCCCCCCCCGTGTACAAATGCATTATTCCAATTTCTTTTACAAGGTTAATCGAAGGTTGCCGGTCCACTTAGACTCTTTCACTCATGTTGGCGGTGTTTCGAATGAGGTCGGCAGAGTTTGGAAAATAACATTTCACAGTCTGGGGAAGGATAATTTCCCTGCTACGGTGATGAGGTCGTGGGGGTGAGGAGAGGTGGAGGGGGTAAGGATTAGAAATACCAGAGGGATTGTGCCAGTGTACGGAAGGAAAACTGTTAAATTGGTTTTGTGTGAACCTACACGAGGCAGGCGGCGGTCGAAATCACAGGGAAGGTGAGAGATGTTGACAGATAAAATCTGAAAAGGAATGCTGAAAAAAAAAAAGGAAGAGAGACAAAGACAAACAGGGGGATCTGTATGGCAGCCCAAAGCTGAATGCTGCCTTTATGAGCAATAGTTTAAAGGACACTGAGGCGTGAGTCCTTGTAACCATAGCAACTTCACAGGAGCCCTGTGACGGACAGATAATAGAGTGAGAGAGGAGTTCCTTTTCTCTTCTTCAGCCCTCCCTTCTTCCCTCCTCCTCACTTGTTCTCACTTCCACTCCTCTCCTCGGCAGTTTGTAGGATCCTCGCATCCCACCAGATCCTCCTTGAACCGTCTTGCCTGTTTTTTTTTTGTGTTGTTTTTTTTTTTTTGCTTTGCCTTTTGTGCACGCTCTCAAGTTTGAATACAGCGCCCAGCCAGAGCGCTGCTCCGGACGACTTCTGCCACAATTGCTTGTTGTTATCTCTCTGGGTCACTTTTATGGACTCCCAGCACTATTTTCTGACTTGTTTTTTTTGTGTGTTCATTGAGAAAGTTGTTCTGCATTGGCACGGGCAGAAATGTGCTCCAAAGGAACTGTATCAGCGCGTGATTCCTTTGTCTACATTTCAGAGGCTGTGCTGTCAAACCATGGTGCTGCACCCGAGACCAGTCGCCCCGAGAATATGCAATGCTTAACAGTGAGTACAATCAAACCCCCTCCTTTTTTTATTGTTGTTGTTTTTGTTTTTCTTGATTCATGTTTTTGTATAGAAAAAATTCAAACCACTGTTGAAAGTGATCACAGTTCTGTGATATCATAGAAATGGACGGTGATCGGAATATTCTAAGGTTTAATTGAGTTGTTTTAACCCGTTAATGTCTAATGTTTCATATTTACATTTTTTTATTTTCTTTTTAATCTGCAGTGCTTTTGAACATTGCACTCGTTGCGTTTGTTCCTCATTGCTTATACGTTACAAAGCAGCTGACCCGTGACCTTGTACCAACAAACTCATCATGCATACAGTGAACATGCCTTCAGTAAGATGCTGTGGTCCTTGAGTTCCATGTTGCACATTTTTCATCAACTGTAGCAACTAATTGAATCACGCACTCTGAGCAATGAGTGGAGCAAGATGGCATTTCTTGACAGACAATATACATCGAAAAAAAAAAAAAGACTCGCTGGCATGTGAGTCCCATGTGGAGCAGAATAATGGTTTGTCGTGAGAAAAGGGGGAAACATGCAAAGTCGTGGTTTGATTTTTATCAGCTGAACTCTTCCACACTTCTTCTTCCTCCATCTCTGTATCCTGTGGCTATTTTCTGGCCATACGTATTTTTTTTTTTACTTCATCACTTTATCTTATTAAGCCTGTTATTCAACTTTAAATATTATGGACATAAAGTTGTCCAGGCATCAGTGTGTGGACGTCCACTCTACCCACGTCCACACACAGTCACAGCAGGACGTTGATGATACTTGAACCCATTTTGCAGCTGGTTATAGATTAATTACTCTCCTCCATATGTTCTAAAACAAACAGCACCGTCCAGTGGACGAATCCATTTGTTTATGGACCATGTTTATAATCAGAGCAGTGACAAAAAAAAAAAAAAAAAGAAAAAAGGATTTTATATCCAGCCTCCATCCATGTTTTCTTATTCAGGGTTAATGTGGTATGTGTGGAATCAGTTGTAATTTTCAGGACTCATGTTTAATTACATGTAATTTTTTTTGAATTGATGACATTTCAATGGTTCAGTAGTTTAGTGTTTAAAACAGTTTAATTTCTTCACATTTCAGACTTCATTCACCTTCATTCTGTCTCAGCTTTAAAGCAACAGTTTCAGTCACATGGTCTCCTGTGAGCCTGAAGACTAAAGGAGTTTTTCTATGTTTTCTTATTTAATAATAATAATAATAATTAACAGTGTGGGAAGATGATAGAATTAAAAATATATATTTAGCTATCAAACTGTCAAAAACTCATTAAGAAGATTATTTAAAAAAAAGAAAAATCCAACCCATTATCACCTGACCATGACAAGGTCATTGTTATATTTGCCAGAAAGTTTGAACCATCTGCAGTCTACTACGTGGGTGGCCTTATTATTTATTTTTCCAAAAATAGACCATTGGAGAAAACTGACCAAACTGTTCCTGCCAGAGGTTCAGGAAAGATTCGGTCATGGAATTAAAATACAAGTAAAAATACAAAGAGTGAATTTTGGATTTAAAAACAACAACAAAAACAAAAGCTTTTCAACACATACCAGATAACAGTAACTGTATAAATGTGTTTGAAATGAGATAAAGTTAAATAAAATATAATAAGTTAAACAGTTAAACAGTTTTATTTTTCACTTAAAAATATTAACTAAAACTTCAAAAAGTACTCACATGGAGTAATATAATCTTGGAGGATCAAGGATTCAATATTTGTTGTCAAACAAATCAAATGAAAAAAAAAATCATTATAAATTTCTCTGCCCTCTGTTCCCACACGATGTCAGCATGTGTCACTTGGCACGCTCATCACACAAACATCATCTTCCCTTCATGGATTCTCTGGGTCTAAAACTTCACATATTTGTAACCCAGGAGACAGCAGTGTATGGAGCAGGGCAAGAAAAAAAAGAAAAAAAGTCCGTACAACCGCTCAGACGGAACATCAATTGAACCACTGCGAGTCCAAGCGCACATTCTTGTCAGATTGTTAGAGAACAGACAGCGGCCGTGGCCTAATAAAACAAACTGACAGCTCCTAAGTTAAGAACCATAGAAACCACAACCACACATAGCTGCGTCTGCCCCAGTCGGATCCAAATGAGCTCCACACAAACACAAGAGAACCCACTGTCACACTCAGGAAATCAGGGCCAGGCATTCATCTTTTCTTCAGTTTCATTTAAACTGTAAGGATTCAAACTGAAACTCTAAAAATATATAAATATAAATATTCCTTTTTCTTTTACTCCAATTTAAATTAAGAGAACAGAGAGGATTTAAAAGTCGGTGCACTGCCATAAAGAACAGTCCAGTTAGTCTTTGAAAAGTGACAACTTATTTTGTTTTGTTTTTTTTAAAGTAGAACTCTAGTCCCGGGGTTAGGAGAGAGTTCATCTCCCAGCAAGAAAAAAAAAAAAGCAAGAAAAAAGAGTTCATCTCCCAGCAAGAACTCCGCTGCACAACAAGAACTTCCAATCCATCATTTACATGGCATAACGTACAGTGCCCTGCTGCTGTGTGATGTGAAAATAAATTCATGTCCTGCTGTGCCATTTAGCACTGGAATGATCCCACTACATAGAACTGCATAATGCAAGACAGAGAGGTGTGAGAAGTGTTAAAACTTGCAATTTTTATTTTGCAATTTTTTTTAGCAATTTTTATTTGCTGTATACTTACAGGGTAGTTGAAAATACATTTTACTTGTATTGTTTTGATATATTTAAAAATATTTCTAAACCATTTTTATTCACTTGCGGACATTTCCTGGAGGATTCTGACCTGCATCAAGTGTCTAGTCCTGTAAAATTAATTAATCAAGTTAATTAATCTGATCTTGTTTTTATTACTATTTGGTTGGTCCATAAAAATCCTAAAAATAATGCTTAAAGATCTAAATTGTTCTGTTTTTGCATGAACTCAAAATTATTGAATCTATTGTCGCTAAAGAAAGAACTGACGACATTTAATCCAAGATGGTAACATTTTCAGAAAAAAGTCAGAAAACTTAGTGATCATTTTATCACTTAGGTAAATTATTCCTCAGCATAAAAGCTAAACAAAATTTGTGTTGTTTATAAAACAGTTTACTATTTGTTCTAAAGGCTTATACTGAGAATGACAAACCTGAAAGGACGTGACGGGTCCACGACCCTCAGTTTACTTTTGTCTACTACAGTTGTTTTATGAGTTAATTTGTAGTGTAAAAGTGTGTAAAACTTTAGTTATTTCTGACGCCTCGTCCTAAAGGGGTCAGTCAGAAACTTCTAAGACAGTGTAATAATCTTTCATGGTGTCCAGCTTAAATTTTAACTAATATTTTTTGCTTTCCAAAAATTGGAACAACATTTGACGTGTACTGGATCTCAGCCATTTAACGAGATAAAGAAGCAGGTTTTGATCTTGTGTTGAAGACGTCCCGTAGGAATCTACAGAGATTGTTATAGAAAAACAGATGATTGCAGAGTTTTCAAATTCAAAAAATGCATTTTTAAATTTTTTATAAAGTTTGTATTCCTGGATATTATTGACACATAAAGCTTCAGAAAAATATTGATTTTTGGACCATTTGAACTTTTGAAGTTCATATATTTGACTGTAAAACCAGACCGGTGTTATTTGAAGCAGAATCCCAGGGCCGTAGAGTTTAATTGTTAAAGTCCAGCATTAAGACGGAAAGATTTCACATCTGTATTTCTCCACGTCCTTTTCCTCCTTCACCCTCTTTTTTTATGACCTGTTCTTTCTTCCTCTCCATCACCGGCCGAATCTCAGTAACAGATGAGTGCGTGGTTTCTGTGTGGGCCACTGAGAGAAAATCACATCCACAGGCTAATTTACTGTCGAATGGAAAACGCTGTTGTCTGTCGCCTTGTGTTGTCGCCTCCTGTTTCCTCCCTCACTCTCGCGGCCTCGTTCACCTCCTCTTTCACCCTCTGCCTGTCTGTTTCTTACTCCCTTTTACCTCATGGTCATCATGCGTTCACCACAAACAGCTCTGCGGTGGCATTATCTGCTCACTCAAACATCTCTGCGTTCCATCATTTCCACATTCACGAATGAAAAAAACAAACAAAAAACTTGTACAGGGCTCTTCAGATAAATAAGTAATGATTTTCATCCACAGAGGAACGTCCCTCAGAACCACCACGAGGTCGTCCTTTATCTGCTGTCCAAAAAATGATACAACCTTTAACTGACGCTTTGTTGGAACCAACCACTCATCTGTGTGTTGATCATTTATTTCAACTCACAACTTCCTAAATACTTAAATCTCAAGCTCTGTTTGTCCTACATGTGTTAAACTCAAGACCCGTGGCCCAAATGTGGGCCGCCATGTCATTTTGTGTGGCCCGCAGGCATGTATTTTATGATTAGGTCCGTGCTGCTTCACGAGCATATTTTAACCATAAATTACAACTACAACAATGCATTTGATGATGATGAGAGTTCTGTGAGCAAAGATCAACTCGGTGTTCAAGGACTAGCAGCATCACCTCATCAACTCAAAACTGGATTCATATTATTAATTTACTTGAGTTCACAAATTTGAAAGTTTGATTTAAATGTTAGTTTCTTAACCTGATAAATTAAATGTCTTTTGTTATTTACAAAAAGCAAGATATGATATTTGTAACCTGAATGAATAATAATCGATTTAAGAAACATGTCCTAATAAGTTACATGGCGTAGTTACATCTCGACAGTCTTCCAGTTGTAACCAGTGCTTTCAGGGTTAGCAACCTTGTTGCTAATGTGCCCCCCTCCCTCCTTGTGAAAATGAGTTCAATGGTCAGCTTCTGAATGGTTGACATTTGCAGTAATTGCTGCGGACAGTAAAATGGGTGAAAATGTTGTCATTGTCAGTGATTATATTGTGGTGATATTTAGGAAATCTCTCACTCGGAGAAACATTAGCGTTTTCCTAATTGTTCCAATGCACTTGCCTTTTCACACGCTGTAAAA